AGAAGAGACAAATAAAGGGCTGCTTGTAGAATCTCCTCTAATCCCCTCTCCACCAATCATCGTCGTCCCCCCACGTGGGCATATGATCCCCTAGTCCCAACGTCTATGACATTGCTCAACAACTGATCTGCACTTTTTATTTGTTTATTTACACAATTTATCTTCACAATTTTTCTTTAACTTTAACCTATCATTGTTCACTTTTTATGATCATCGAGGAGGTGCCTCTTGCTTCTCTTAATCTCTCACTTTCTGACCCCCTTCTTCTTTTGAATTTTTCTTTCAAATTCTTTGTTGTTCTACAAATCTTCTGCAGTTGGGGTAGCAAGAACTTTATATATATCAGTTAACATATATCAGAATATATAAACATGGGAGACTGTTCTGCTTCATACATCCACTTGGTAAGCCTTGTTATAATTTTTATGAAAGTTCTTCTGCTTTTTCTTGATCACCAAGATGATGTATATCTTTGATTCAATATATATATGATCGATACATTAAAAAACATCACAAGGTAATTCGCAAAATTTAGTCTTTCTCAAGTTTTTCGTAAATCAAGAGCACTTGATGACATTTTTGAAGTGATGTTATATTTTTTGATATTTTATGGTGATGAAAATTAATAATAATGACATGCATGATTATAAATAGGTACACCGTTTAATCGAGGAGTGCATCATATTCAACATGAGCAAAGAGGAGTGCATGGAAGCTCTCTCTAAGCATGCAAACATAAAACCCATCATTACCTCCACAGGTCTCTCTCTCTCTCTCTCTCTCTCTCTCTCTATATATATATATATATGTGTGTGTGTATTATATGTTCTTGCATAGGATTGAATGGTTAGCTAATTAATGGACTAACTGATTAACTGCAGTGTGGAAGGAGTTAGAGAAGGAGAACAGAGAGTTCTTTGAGGCCTACACAAAGAGCAGGGAAGCAGGATCCTCTGAGACGGTCACAAAGCAAAGAATCCAGAAGATGCTTTTTGATCTTTCCCAGAGCGGCGACAACTCCACCACCACCGATGACGACGGTGATGAATCTGATGACTAGTAGTCCCTTTAATTTTTTATGCAGAAAACGATCGATAAGAGATGGCCTTTTTGGCTTTAGGTGGTATATAAATCTGTAACATCAGGGAGAAAGTTGCTAAAAACAATAGGCAAAATAACAAGTTGTCCAGGACAATACAAGGGCAAATCCGGACGGAGCATACGACGTCGTCGTGTAGCAGTCATCAATACTAGTTGGGAATTGGGGTTTGTAAACCCTTGAGACTTGAGACTGCGTGGGTGGCTGGGGTTAGCTACGTGGCGCACACGTGGCAGAGCCCGATGTGCCCCATTTGCCTCCATTGTGTGTGTGTGTCTCCCATGCAGATACTGTACTGATTTGTAAATGTAAAATTTTAGAGCTATGAATTCTGCAAATTCCTTTTTCCTCTTTTTTTTTTTCTTTTTTGCTTAATTCTCATTCAAATAATTTCATCTAGAAAAGAAATTAACTTCTCATTGTGTTTAGTTTCTCATTTTCGATTTCACGAGATATTATATAGCAAAGAGAAGTAAAAATTTTGAACTCGAAACATAGTGAATTAATGAACTACTTGACCAATCTACCACTCCAAAATTTACTGTTCACGCAGCTTTGGTTATTGGGCTATTTTACTTCCTTTCTCCTGTAAATATGTATAAATATCATGGATGTTTTGTTTGTTTTCTCCAGTAATTCTGTTCGTGGGTCATTTGAATTTGTCGCCATTGTAATTTTTCGTTCGAGTTCAGTGGAGAAAGACTGAGAGTGACATCAACGTTTTAGTTGTACTAGAATCTTTGCACACCTGCGCGGCTATGAATTTATATTTAATCTTTTCCCACAATATTATGATTAGTATTAGATTAGGGTTCCGGTCTGTAGTGCTTTAAGTCACTTGGAGATGCAATTGTAGATATAGATTGTTCTGAGGTGATGGACTTCTGTTCTGCAATTTATTATGTTTCGCGTTTAAACTCTTTTTTTTTTTTGTTCAGTGTGTGATTCGTATTAGACTCGACTACTGTGGTTAGTAAGATCTGTTCGGCCTTTTCAACAATAGGCCCAAAATAATTCAAAATAGAGAATGTTTCTTGGGAGTGCATTAGTTGTCTCTAATGACTCACTAAGTTTGACAACTTTAGTAAAACAAAATTTTTGCTTGAAATTTGATAATTTGGTACTACGATTTAGTAGTATTTTTATTCTCACTTCATAAGAAGTTATAGGTTTAACTTTTGTGGATGATGTGTTATATATTACATATGGCTTCGTAGTCGATGTGTGGCTAGCCCAAATCTCTCACATTCTAGTGTAAATAATATCGTTCTATTAGAAAAGTGAATAATTTGTCTACATTAATAGTTACTTTTAGGTTAAAACTTAAAAGTAAAAATGTTTAGGCAAATGTATAAAAAAGTCAACCTCAATGCTTAACACATTAACTGCTTGTTTGGATATGCTTTCAAAATAACTGAAAACGATTTTGGTGTAAATGTTTTTGGAGCCTATCTTTAGTAAAAATGTAAGCAAATCCTGAAAAAGCACTAAAAGTGCTTCCTGGAAGAAGCAATAACTAGTGCTTCGTGCAGAAAGCACTTTAAGTGCTTTTAGAACCCAAAAATATTTTTTCTAAAAGCGCTTTCAATCATTTTAAAAGTACATTCAAATGAGCTCTAAATCAATGGAGATGATAGTCTTTTCTTTCTTCTAGTGGAAATCTAGTGGCAGAATCAGTTTGGCAGTCGAATTGATAGCCCCCAATCGACAATTGACTAAAGCTTATCAACATGGCTTAAAACGAAATTGATACCGAACTAATTTTGTGGTTTACTGATATTCGGTTCAATCAAAAAATTTGGCCAGTTCCAGGTTATGAGTGGGTGTTGCTTATGGCAGATTTTGTGGTGGTGGGTGTCTTCGAGTTGGTTGGGTCTTTGGGGCAGCTTAGAGGTTGTGATGACTAAAAATACATCTTCTCTAGCGAATATGATTACTGTTTTATCGGTTTTACAGTGGAGCTCAAACTTTACTTTTGTTCCTCAAAACCAAAAACTTTACTTTCACTTGCACACTTAATTTTGATGCATTAGACCATCTCCAAAGTAGATGTCAAATATGACAAAAGAGATATTCAGGTGTTATCTAATGCATATGTCATATATGATGTGGCAGTTGAGTCATTTGACTCCATGCTTTCTAGCTGTCTGTTTTTTTTTTACTGCAAACAAAGAAGGAGTCAAATATATTTAGTTTTTAGAGTGAAGTGCCGATTTAGTATCTGAACTATCACTTCAATAAAATTTAGGTCCTAAATTAGAATAAGTCTCTAAATTCATTAAAAATGCTAATTTCATCCCTACCAGTATATTCAAAGTTGTTTTATCCAATTTTTCGTTAACTTAAGTCACTTGACACACTTTAGAGTGTAATACCGTCCTTTTTCTTACCTATAAACCCTTAACATTTCATGTAGATTGTGAATTTAACATTTAATTTGCCCTTTAAAGTTAACTTCATACACTTTCTCTATGAACCCTCAATTGTGTATCACATGCAAGTAACGTGATTTAAATTGACGAAAAATTGAGTATAGTAGCTTTGAATCTAATATTAAGGATATAATTGGTAGACTATTATAATTCAAGGACTGATTTTTCTGAAAAAATAGTTTAGTGACCTAATTTTCATTCATATGATATTTCAAGGATTAAATTGGCAATTCACCGTAATTTTTAATGCATGGGTCACATTAACAACCAATAAAATAAAAATTTAATACAATAAATATTTGATGTATCCATGAAAAAAAAAAGAAAAAAGAAAAAAGAAGATTTAACATTTGTAGCGACATGGCTGGTGCTAGTTTTGTGGTAAGAAATGAAGATGGCGTTGTGATGGGAGCCAGTGCTTTCAACTTAGGGCTGTTTGGTATTGCTGTGCTTTGAAAAAAAAGCTGCTTCTGATATGCCGTGAGAATAAACTCATTTTTGCTGCTTCACGTTTTCAGTTTTTTTTTTTTTTTCACCCAAATTGTGAAAATAAGCTGTTCTTAAGTGTTTACCAAATATCTTTTTGAGCTCAGTTTTTTTTTATATCCATTTTTATAAAAGTATCTTAGTACCAAACTAGTACTTAGACAGTGCAACTATAAATGAAGTGGAGGAAAAAACTTTGAATGAGGGCTATCCTATGGCAAAGAGGAAAGGGTTTAAAAAGGTTTATGTTGAAGTCAAATCTTATTATTAGGGAGCTTTAATGGCATTTTTTAGCCTCCGTGGAACCTTCGCTTGTTTTGAAGATATTAGATGGCTTACTTCGTCTTGTTTGGACGTGAGATGGAATCACATCTTCAAAGAAGCTAATTTCCTTGCTGATGCCTTTGCAAAACAAGGGACTTCTAGTTAGGAATAGCCATTTTTGGCAGTATTGTATTCCTTCCCTTGCTCGTCCGACCTATAATTTACACTCTATGGGCTTTGGTTGTATCCGATGGTTTCTTGTTTTAATGCATTTATTTCGTATCAACAAAAAAAAAATTTATTCAATTTCGACCGCATCAATTATCAAATAAAATTTTAACATATTATATTTGACATGCTATTAGGAAACCTAATAAGCCCACGTCAAAACAGAGAAAGCCCATGCTAGTTTCAAGTGAACCCACATCAAAACCCAAACAAAAAGAAAAACAAAAGTTCAATTGAAATTCCAGCCCAACAAAAAGCCCAGCTGAAGGCTCACACCCGGAGTGCCTTTAGCTGAATGTCGAATTCCTCTGTCCAGCTCCTTCTCGAATGTCCCATTAAGGAAACGACCCTACGACACCGTTTCTCACCTCCCTGACGATAATTTTATTCTCCCGGACCAACATGCCTAAACGGCATATACTCTCAGCGTTTTGAACTTTCTCCTGTTACCTATTTCCCTTCCCACTCCTCCTCCATCATCTCTTCCACTTCTCTCACCTCCATTGCAGGGTTTTACAAAACCCTAGTACTCTCTCAATCCATGGAGTCTCTCGCCAAACTTCACCACCGTCACCAACCCCTCACCCTCTCGCTCAATTCCCACTGCCCATCATCCCCAAAACCCCTTTCTTCGTTCATACCCCCGCGCCAATCGCCGCCCTTCAACTTCACCACCCTCACTGTCAGAGCCTCATCCTCATCGCTTCCGCCGTCCTCCGCCCACCCACCTCACCAAAGCCCACAAAACCCTAATCCCATTTCCTCTTTCAAAACCCTAGCCCCTCTTGCCGCCCCTATCATCAAGACGACCTGCGCCGCCATCGCTGCCGCCGCATTATTCTTCATGAGGTTCAATCACCGAACCGCTATGGCCGCCACCGCAGTCGCACCTTCCATGGTTGAGCCAGTGGAGCAAGAATCATCCACTGACAGAGTTCCGTATGAGGAGAAAGAAAGGGTTCTTGAAGAGCAATTGGCCCAGAACCCGGATGATGTCGAATCGCTCAGGAATTTAATGGAGGTCAGGATCAAATCCCACAAGCTGAACGAAGCGATTCAGGTGTTGGAGCGCTTGATCGAGCTGGAACCCGAAGACTTTGAGTGGCAATTGCTGAAGGCCAATGTTCACAGCTACATGGGTGAGGTCGAACTCGCTAACGCTGAGTTCGAGGACATTTTGGCGAAAGACCCTTTCAAAGTAGAGGCCTTTCATGGCCTTGTAATGTGCGCTTCACAATCACCGGAGAAATTGAAGAGTGTGACGAAGAGGGTGGAGGAGGCAATGGTGAAGTGTAAGAAGGAAGGGAACATGTCGGATGTGAGGGATTTTAAGCTGTTAGTTGCTCAAATTCGCGTGATGGAGTCGAGGTATTCGGATGCTTTGAAGCTTTATCAAGAGCTTGTGAGGGAAGAACCGAGAGACTTCAGGCCTTATCTGTGTCAAGGAATCATTTATACAATGTTGAGGAAGACTAATGAGGCTGAGAAACAGTTTGAAAAGTTCAGGAAGCTTGTTCCAAAGAACCACCCTTATAAAGAGTATTTTGATGACAATATGTTTGCGACGAAGCTTTTTGGGCAGAAGGTGGAGAGAGAGAGAGCTGCGTCGAAAGTCTGAGGGAACTGGGGTTGCTGAGTTTTAGCTCATTGTGGTGGCTGGCTTCTGTAATGTGGTGGTTGCCGCCTGGTTTCTCTCTGCATCTGTTTTTGGTTAATGCTTTGGCTAGTAGTGTTCACTCAAACTGTAGGTAATTTTAGTAGTAGTCGTCGTAGTAAAAGTAATTTTCAGAATGTAGAGCTATCTGCGCATCGAATAGTGAAATTTAATATCTTGCTGAACCAATTTTGTCTCAATATTTGGAGTTATACCTGGAATGAAACTGTTTTTGATGTGCTGATGTTGAAACGGATAACATCCCGTATTGGTTTAATGTGTTCGGAGCTCAAGAGCATGCTTTGCTATGTCCCAGAAGGCTCATTGTATGGTGCATATGGTTATTGTGGGAATGTTTCTTTGCCAATGGGACTGCTGCAGAAGTGGTTGTCATAATCTTTACTGATGGAAAATACTTTGATAACTGTATCCTGTAATTTAGATTAATCATACACAAGAAGTTCTGGGTTTTACTTCCTCGACTCTAGTTCCGCTGCATATGATACCATCGTAAATTATATAGTATGCCCTGGATCTCAGTTCTGGTCATAACTTCTTCGACTGTATTTCAGTTCATTGATTTCCCTGGCAGGTACTACTAATATATCCTTCGTGTAACTTTCACATGGTCTGCCCTGGTTCCCAAGTATCGGTAGCGATGTCAGTTACAGTCAATATTATGCAGTCAATTTCTTTTCAGAAAAAGCCTTTAGTGCTGTTTTATTTTTCAGTATCAAGTGCGGCTATTCATGTCATGCTGTGCTTGATTCAAAGTTGTTCCGCATCTCGTTAAGGGTTGAACTTCGTGTGAATGTTCTTAGCATGAAAGGGTATATGAGTGACTTAGAAATTCAAGTTCCAATATAACTTGTAGTAGTTGAATTTGTTTTGGTTTATGTAATGCACAAAATGTGCATAGTATAAGGCGGTGGAGATGTTGAGTTGTTGACAATTATATGATGATTTATATTTGTGTGTTTGTATAATTTGTTGCATATTCGGATATGGATTAAGGACTGGAGTTCCGTACATCGCATTGTTTTTATGGTCCCTACTGCAATATTGATCTTTCTGATGTCATGGCAAGTCTATGTATGCTTTATACTTTCTTACTTAATGGAACCTCCATTTCCCTTGCTTGAGACAATATTTTCTGTTCCTTCATGACTCTCGGGCGTGATAGTTAATGGTTGATTAGCTGATGACTGGCGTAAGAGACAACCTCTTTCGTCATTGTGCTCAATTTTTTCAGTGAGCAGATAGGCAGCAAAAATGCATATGATTATATCTGATTTGAACTGTTTTTAATGAACTACCAATTGGATGTTGGACTGACGGACTGTTTTTTAACTTGTGGTTAACGGCGCGCGATGTCTACCCAGCTGGTGCAGAAATGAAGACAGTTTTGCAGATGGAAAAGTTTGTATAGATTCTTATTGCATCCAGGTGATTTCCAACCAACATAATGCTTCTATCTTCCCCCCCTCTCATTCTTGCTTTTACTGCGGTTATTCGATCGGATCGAGTAGCAGCAGGTTCTCTCCCTGTTACTCATATCACCCAGTATGATTTATTAGTAACCTTCACCTGCAGCTGCAATTGTCCTTGGAAAAGATGAAAACATGTCACAAATGGCTCAAATGGGCGCCTGGTTTGTTCGCATGGCCCACAATATAATGACGATACAATATCAAATATATTATCAAATACGGTGGGATATTGTCAATGCACTATATACCTGTGTCATGCGCAGATCTCAGGTGCGCGGTTGAGCAAACCTCCACAAGATTATAGGAAGGGAGCTAAACGAGAGTTGAATTGGCCCTTTAGGCAATTTCCAACCGAAAGGGCTAAGCATAGCTTAGTTCAGAATTATAGCCCTGCGAAAAATTATTTTTAAATGAATAGTGTTAGATAATGTCATATGCCATCTTCAATTGGAGGAGCTAAATATAGCTCTCTTAATAACTTATTGGTTCTAAGCTCATACTATAAATTCATTAGTTAATTTAATTAAACTACCCGTTTGAAGTTTTCAAATCTAACCGTTGAATTTGAATCATATTGCAATTGAGGAGCTAACCCAAAAAAAAACAGGCTAAGAGGTGAACTACATTTGGCTAGCCTGATGGCATTTTGGCCAAATAATGGATTGATGGGTTCCATATAATTATTACCTAGCCATTGGTTAGAGATGAATTTTTGGGCAAATGAAACTATTTTTTGGCTTTTGCACTTTTAGCCATCTCCAGTGGAGAGGGCTAAAAGGCCATAATATGGCCTGATTTGCACAAAATCCATCTCTATCTGAAGGCTAGACTAAAATTTAGTGGAACCCACCCGGTAAAAACATTACCAAATGGGCGTTAGAGAAACTCCAGCCCTATCTTTTAGGCCCAAAGCCTAAAAAAAAAAGGCTGTCACCCAAAAAATCCACTGCACCCATAAAAATAGGCTGGCACAAAGTCCAAGCTAGTTTGTAGGCCAGCCCAAAATAGGTTGAGGGAGGAACTGGCCTATCTGGCGTCATGCTAATACTAGCGAACAACAGATATTTTTTTAGTTAGGCGCGTGGGAAGCACGAGCATGTGGGTGCGCGCCCCCGACAAGGTGACATGTGTTAGGCCAGCGCTGCAGGCACATTAAAGGGGTGCGGGATATAGGCCACGTGGCTTGGCTATGGTCTTTGGATTTCCAACGGGTAGTTTTCTGAACTGTTGGATTTCCAATGGTAAAAAAAAAATTGAATTTTAAACCCAACGGTTAGTGATGTGGTCAAATCTAGGCCGTTTGATTCCTAGATCAACGGTCAAGATTTTTCGGTCAAAAAACTTAAAATAAAATAGAAAGAAAGGCAAATGTTAGAATTATTACTGTTGGCCACGTATCCAATTTTGAGCTGTTGGATTTCAATTTTTTGGATTTCTAGATTAATTAACTTCATAAAAATTATTTAAAAAATATAGAAAAAATAAAACAAAAATTATTAAATATTGGATAAAATCTTATCCGAAATTATAAATAAATTTTTTATTTTATAAAATAATAAAAAATTTAATAATATTTTAATACGAATTGACTAGACTTTGGACTAGCTCATTTTTATGGGATGAAGAATTGAAGATTCATTTGGCCAATTACTGTTCATTGAAGTTAATTACTATTCATTTAAATGAATTAAATAGATTTTAAATTAACTCATTTTTTAGTGGTGGACTTGCTCTTAAGCTGGGCAAGCTAGGCCTGATAGCCAGCCGGTTTGATGAGGTCCATCAGTAGCAAGCTGCATATCCAACGTTGGACTTGAAAGAATCCAACAGCTGGCTACATATCGCCTTCTTCCTTTTCTCGTCCCTGCCTTCTCTCTCTCAAACTGAACCAACCTTTTAATTTAATTTCATTATTTCGGTGGATAATCGATGACAACTAGTAGATTTTTGAGAAATTTCAGGTTCGGTGGATATCGATTTAGTTTTGAGAATGACTCTTTTTCAGTGGTTTCGGTGAGGCACGGCCCAGTAACCCTTAAGAATCGCATTTTGAATTGCGCGACTCAAACATAATGGTTATGCAACTTCTGCTACTCGATGGATTCTTACTTCATTGATGTTAGACACTTGTTCGACTAACTAGATTTAAAGAAAATAATTAATTTTTTAAATTCATTTAACAAGATACCTAATATCATTAGTAATTGGTTTTTCAATCGGATTATTGACTGTTGGTTAGGAATAATACTCTTTTCATTTGTATAAAATTATCAATAAAATTAAAAATAAACTTAAAATTAATAAATTATTGAGGAAGCTATGTTTAACCTTTTCGTTTGAAGATAAATATGAATATGACCTGATATTGTTTATTAAAAAATAATTTATTGTAAGGCTATAATTCTAGACATGACTATGTTTAGCCCATTCGGTTGGAGATTACCTTATATCTTTTAGTTTTGCCCCCTCGTGCACCTCAATATAATGTATTCATTATAATGTATTTTAAGCGTATAAATGTATTAACAAGACATTTTATTTCTTTATCATTATTTAAAAATCGTCTTTATAAAAAAGAATAAAATTAGGGATAGTTTAATCATCTTAAACGTATATAAGGATTTGACAATAACTAACACTCTTACTATGAACCATTCAGTAGGTTAGTTGGTTGATAGATGCGGATGATTAAGGGTAAGAAATTCGCAATTTGATTATTTTTATTAAGAGATGAAAATTTCAATTGGTTAATTGGTTGACAAATGTGGATGGTTAAACATAAACAATTGTCAATTTGATTATTTTTTATTGTAAAGACAAAAATAAATGGTTATTATAATATTATACGATTAAAACACGCCAACAAATGGACAAACAAACGGACAAAGAGGTGCAAACATGTGGCCGGCCGAAAATCTAATTTCCATCAATTACAAACGTGGCAGGTGCAAGGAGGTGCAATTGTCAGATTTTAATGCCCTAAATGCGTCATTGCCGGAAGGAACCGGTGGAATACCAATATTTTTGGTTCTAACAGTTATGAAATTTTGGGCTGGTGTGTGCGCAGTTGCGATTGCTAATTAGAGATTATTATTAACTTTAGTTTGTGCGAATTATTTTCAGATCAATTTATTTGGTTATTGAAGATTATACCTATGTGATATTTTTTGTAGTTGTTGTGAACTATTTATATTTGTGGTTCAGTAATTAATTTTACTATCGTTTCTTGTCCAAAAAAAAAAGAAAAAAAAAAGAAAAAAGAAAAACAGTTATGGCCGTGCAATCATTCATAAGATATCTTCTTTTTTTCATTCTTGTAAATCACACGTTACTGTAGTCTAAAGGGTAAAATTTGGGCTAAAAATGATAAATACTTGTGTTTTTTTTCTTCTTATTTAGTTGATATGCATAAGCAATAAATAAGAACTAAATTAAATCTAGTATTGGTAAACACATACATACATTAATTTCTTGAAAGGCTAATACTAGAGACATGAAAATTTTAAACCAAAATTTTGAAAACTCTATGATGTGATTGTTAATGATTGAATTATTATTTAAGTGTTGATTAATGTGCTTATTTTCCATTATATGGTTTGCAAATTTGGTTTACGCATTACTCTTTATTGAAGGTTAGACTTAAATTAGAATGAATGTTTAAAAATTGCACCTCACATAGCTATTAGGGTAATAGTTATAAAGAAATTAACAAACAAACATAAATTCGTAAAAATTGGAAAGAATAAAAAAAAGCACATAGCATTTTGAACTCATGACCTTTCGTTAATTTTAAACAACAAAAATCATTACTTCTAATTAAAATTGTTGATTATTTAACCAAATTTTATGAATTTATACTCTTATAAAAAGAATTTTGTAAAAACTTTAAAGTAAAAAAATGCACATAGCGTTTTAAACCCGAGACCTCCTTGTAGCATAAACCACCACTTATGGTTAGTTAATCTATATATATAAAGGGAGAAGACCAGTTTGTTTAGTGTCTTTGTTAAATTTATACACAAAACCACTAGTTATACTTAAATTCCTCCGTATTTTAACAAAATTTTATAAATTTATACTCTTATGGAATCATAAATGAATATGCCATCCTAATAAATTTGGTGCCCTCAATTTTTTTGGGCCCCAGACGGTTGCCATCCTTGCTAGGCCTGGGCCGACCCTGCCCAATAACGACTCGACACGTTAACGGGTTGATAAAAATTTTGTTATTTTCGTGTCGAATTAACGGACCATGTAAAAAAAATGTTAGTACTAGTCGCACTCAGCCCTCCGAAGGACCCTGGAGGAGCTGTGATCTAATATTCAACTCCTTATCAGACACGGCATCGATGGGTTCTCTTTCTTACGTATTTGTGTAACAGAGTATCCTTTTGTTTTGTAATACGGCATTCAAACAAATCACTATCATGAGATTTTCCCTTTCACATTTGCAGGCCAAGTTTGCATGATATCCTAAAAAGCCCTGAAACCTGGTTTTTCATCACCTCCGTATCTCTTCAAAGACAGCATGGAGCATTCTTGTAGTACTCATGGGAAAACCATTTTGTTTACGTTCTTTCGCGTGCTTGTTCTTTTGTTATGCATGAGCACACGTCTGGATGCCGCAATTCTGCCCGGAAATGAAACCGATCGCTTGGCGTTGCTGGACTTCAAGGACAGGATAACTCAAGATCCTCTCAATGTCATGAGCTCGTGGAACGATTCCACTGATTTCTGCAGATGGGTTGGAGTTACATGCAACCCTTCCACCAAAAGAGTTTCGATTTTGAAACTCAACTCCCAAGAACTGGCAGGCTATATACCAGCTTCTATAGGAAACCTCACCTACCTGACAGGAATCAACCTAGCAAACAACGACTTCCATGGTGAAATTCCTCAAGAAATGGGTCGTCTACGAAGCCTGCAATATCTCAACCTATCTGCAAATTCATTCAGAGGGAAACTTCCAGCTAATATATCCCACTGTACGAAGCTAAGCGTGCTCAATGTGAGCTTCAATGAGCTTATCGGGTCAATTCCAAACGAGTTCAGTTCCTTGTTGAAATTGACTTACCGTTTGGCTTGCTCGTAACAATCTCACAGGAAGCATTCCGAAATGGATAGGAAACTTTTCTGCTGTGTATAGTATATTCCTTTTCGACAATAATTTTCACGGAAGCATACCTAATGAGCTTGGTCGTCTAAAAGGCTTGCAAAAACTTGCACTTTCTGGGAATAATTTGTCTGGTATGGTCCCTCCTTCAATTTATAATATTTCTTCTTTAAGATGGTATCTAGTTCCTCAAAACCAACTGCAAGGCGAGCTACCTCCAAATGTCGGTACTACTCTTCCAAATCTTGAATTATTTTCCTGTCATTTGAACAAATTCACAGGTAATATTCCTATCTCCTTGTCAAATGCTTCTAGACTTTCGGTTATTGATTTTTCAACCAATGACTTCACTGGGACAATCCCTGCAAGTTTTGGGAACTTGAAAAACTTGGTTAGACTAAACATAGCTGGCAATTTACTAGGAAGTGGGAAAACTGGTGACCTGAATTTTCTTAGCTCCTTGGCCAATTGTACTATCTTGGAGGCTTTGGGTATTTCCAATAATCAATTTGGAGGAGAATTGCCGAGATCCATAGCCAACCTTTCTACTAGTCTTCAAATGCTTGCTGTAGGTGGCAATTTGATACATGGAAGCATCCCTATCGGCATTGGAAATCTTATAGGCTTGACTCTTTTGGCAGCGGATTATAGCTTTTTAAGTGGTAATCTACCCGATGAAATTGGAAAGTTTCACAAGTTAGGGGAACTGTATTTGAGTGGTTGCATGTTTTCGGGCCGAATCCCATCGTCCCTTGGAAACATGACTTCATTGACAAAGCTTTACATGGACCGGAATAGGTTTGAAGGAAGCATTCCTCCAACTCTTGCAAACTGCCAAATTCTATTAATACTTAATCTTTCTAGTAACAATATCACAGGAGCCATACCTAGAGAGCTTATTGGGCTCTCGTCCCTTTCAATCTATTTAGGCCTGGCTAACAACCATTTAACTGGTGCACTGCCACAGGAAGTAGGTAATTTGGCCAATCTCGCGGAGTTAGATGTATCAGGAAATCAGTTATCAGGTAATATTCCAAGTGCCCTAGGCAATTGTATTATGTTGGTGCGCCTATGCTTGGCAGATAACAAATTTGAAGGAACAATTCCTCAATCTCTTAAAAGTTTAAGAAGCTTGGAAGAGATGGATATTTCGAGCAATAATTTTTCTGGGCAGATTCCTGAATTTATAGGCAAGTTAAAATTTCTCAAGAATCTTAATGTTTCTAATAATATTTTCGAGGGTGAACTGCCTAAAGAAGGGATTTTTCTAAATGCAAGTGGTCTCTCAATTCTTGGAAATGGTGGGCTTTGTGGCGGCATCCCACAATTAAGTCTACCTTCATGCTCCAACTCAAAGGTTCGTTCATCTCGAGGACTGCTTGCCCCGAAAGTAGTCATCCCTGTAGCTTGTGCGCTTGCATTCATAATTGCTTTGTCATGCTTCATTGTTGCTCGTTCAAGACGCAAACATGTAACTTTGCCTTCCCATAAGGATTGGAAAATGGGTGTCTCTTACTCGAAACTTGTTGAATCAACTAATGGGTTCTCCGTGGACAATCTTATTGGTACAGGAAGTTTTGGTTCAGTTTACAAAGGCATAATCCCTAGTGATGGAACCATAGTTGAAGTTAAGATATTAAACCTTCAACAAGAAGGAGCTTCCAGGAGTTTCATCCGTGAATGTAATGCTTTAAGAAGCATAAGGCATCGTAATCTTCTCAAGATCATAACTGCCTGCTCAAGCATTGACAATCAGGGCAATGACTTCAAAAGTTTAGTTTTTGAGTACATGGTAAATGGAAGTCTTGATGCGTGGCTGCATCCAATAGAGCAGTCTCAGAGTAAGAGATTGAGCCTTATACAAAGACTCAATATTGCGACTGATATTGCATCAGCATTGGATTACCTCTACCACCATTGTGATACGTCGATTGTTCATTGTGATCTAAAGCCAAGTAATGTTCTACTTGATGAAGATATGGTGGCTCATGTTGCTGACTTTGGTTTAGCAAGGTTCCTCTTAGAAGCGGTGGATAACCCCTCTCAAAGTCAAACCATGTCAGCTAGGCTAAAGGGTTCCATTGGCTACATTCCTCCAGGTATGCGTTTTTATGATTCTCAATAATTTTTTTTTCTCCTAAAAACTTATTAGTAGCCTACTTAAGTCTCTATTAGTATGAAAGAAAATGGAAAAATACCTCTTTTCTTTGGATAAGAAGCATCAGCGAACTCTTAAATAAGATTTGAATTCTAAACATTTGACTTGACATCCTAATGTGAGTATTGGATGACAGAGTATGGCATGGGAGGTGAAGTATCCATACTAGGAGATGTTTATAGCTTTGGGATACTGTTGCTAGAAATGTTCACGGGAAAAAGACCTACCGATGGAATGCTTGGAGATGGTATAAATATTCACAATTTCACAGCCTTGGGGATGCCTGATCATGCCATGGACATAGTTGACCATTCATTGCTCACTGAAAGAGAAGATGCAGATGCTAATGATAACAGATACGAAGATGAGGTACAAGAACCTATCACAAATCGCCATGACCACTGCCTGGTACAAGGAAGAAAATTGGAGGAATGCTTGGTTTCAGTGATGCAGATAGGACTAGCATGCTCTGCAATATCCCCGGGAGAGCGGATGCATATGAATGTTGTTGTCAACAAAATGAAGGCAATTAGAGACTCATTTATGAAATTATGAAGACGAAGCTGTATACGAGATTGGGCTAAGTTTCTTTTCTTAATCTCACTCTTTAGACTCTTATATATGCCAGAGCATAATTTGCTAAAGATAGTATATTTACCAATGTGTATCGTATGTAAAGTTGATCTAGTATTTTATAATTACATTTTAGCATAAGGGAATATTGTTTTGTTCTGTTTACACTTTCTCTGTTTGTATCGTACTACTACTAAAGAAGAGCTAGGTCGAGTATAATCTTTGTGAAAGTCATGTGATCCCCCTTGTCTCGCCTTTTTTTTACTGTCATTTCTCTCTTCGTTCATCATACCGATCATAGTTACTTTTACTTTTTGAATTGAGATTAGTAGGCTAGTAGGAGTAGTACAAGTATTCCGACTAAAGAGCTATCTTGCACTTTGAACAGTGAAATTTATCATTAACATTTTTTGCTGAAATTACTTTTGATGTTCTATGGCTGAAATAGTTACATTTTTGTATTAGTTTCTGTTTAAATCCAACCAGTCTCGACGATATATGACGTTATCCTAATTGCAGCATAAGGTAGTCTTATAATCCTGCACTATTTCAGTCCATTTTGATTTGCTTGATCCACTCTAATTAATATTCCTTCATCTAAATTCTTCGATATAGCCTATCTGAACTCCTCAAGAGTTTCTCATATGCTTATACAGTCAATTCCTTGTCTGAAAAGTTAGTAAGTTTGCATGTAATCCTAAAATGTCTGAAACCTGGTTTTACATCGTCTCTGTATTTTATTAAAAACAGCACGGAGCATTCTTGTAGTACTGCATTAAGGAGTTGCAGATGAGCATTTTTCGCTACCGGCAGCCAATCTCCGGTGCATTGCAGGATTCCCTTCATATCTTATAAACGATAATTATTGATTAAAAGAAACAACATTGATTAGTCGTGCACTTATCTTGGTCATATGAATTATTATGCTTTAGAAAATTTGATACCAGCTCTATTGCCAAGTATTTTTAGTACTAATTTAGAACATTTCAACATCTCTACGTAGCAGGCCTTGGTCTTTTAAAACTTGCAGGACCACAATAGTAAGGACTACAGATATAAACTAAATACATATTTACTTTTGTTTTGGTCAAATAATTCATTAAAAAGCCAAGAACCAATAACCAAATGCAAACATCACCCGATATTGCGAGTCGAATTAAGCAAGAAAACTTTAAATTATTATTATTTTAATATAATTAAGAAACGGACTTTTCTTTTGTCTTGTAATACTGCATTCAAACAAATCAATGTCATCATTTTTTCTTTCACAGTTGGAGGCCCTGAAACCTGGTAATATTCAAATTGGCTATTTTTTTATAGTTTAGGGGCACTTGTGGCTGAAAAATATTTTAGTGATAAAAATGACACATTCAGGTAAATGACATTTGACTCAAACTTCAAATATACCTACCAAGGAACTGTTAATTTTCCATGTGGTGGTTGCTCATTTGGGATCTGTTTGGAAGTGTGATCCTAAAAAGTCTTTTCACATTAAGGCCCATTTAAAACCGAAAAGCAAAAGCAGCTAAAGAAGCTGTCAAAAATTGGCTTTTTTCTTTCTTTCTAAAACATAGATGAATACTGACTCTTCAATAAATTTTTCTACGACGATACTACCTTTTCTTTCTGCGCATCGTCCAATTTCTTTCTTCTCATCGTCTCCTTCAAGCTCCAACATGCTATCTCGTGAGATCGAAATCTTTCGCTTGAATGATCAGAAAAAGTTATTAGTTAGAAAGAAGAGTTTACTTCTCTGATCTATGAAAAAGTACGCGTAGATAGATCGAGATAGGTTTATGAAATGAAATTGAAAATTTAAAGAAAAACTTTGAAACAGTTGTGGCTGCTTGTAGATCAAGATGGATACGCCAATGGTAGATCGAGATGGGCACACCAAAGTGGTGGTTGCGTGTTGATCAAGTGGGTTAGGGTCGTTAGGCGAAGGGATGAGCTGGCAGGGTGGTGGTTGGGTGATTTGTTTGCAATGGCGGTTTAGATGGGTGGTCCAACAGTTTTTATGGATTGTTTGGAAGTGGTGGTTGTTGTGATATGGCTGTGGTGGTTGTTTAGACGGGTGATCTGGTCACGGTGGAGGTTTGAAGTCGTGGGGGGTGGGTCTGCTTGGAATTCATTTTAATTATATTTTTATGTTTTAATTACATTTTGCCTTCATATTATGTTTATTAATACATTTATGTTGTAGTACTATTGGATTAGGAAAGTGATTATGTAAATCATAGTGTATTTAGGGATATCTTGGAATATTCTCTAAGTTAGATATTATTCAATTAGAGTTGTAATCCTATTAGGGTAAGGATTTAATCTATCCTAATATTATAAATAAAGGCACAATAGGATGATACAACACACAACTCATAATTATACCTCTCTCTTTCTCCCAACCATGCTACACTCCCTCTCTCTCTGTCCTTTATATGATTCAGTAAATTAGGCCTATAACATGTTATCAGCACGCTCTTGATGCTGCGCTGAAGAGAGTTTATTATTCAATTTTTATGATTAATTTATTACTTTATTGAATTGATTGACATGCTATTGATTCAATTTAAATTTTCTTTGTTGAACGTGATACAATGCATTGGAGATGCAATTCTGGCTTTCAGATAATAAACTTCTATAAATTCAAATGCTCAATTGTTTTCTGCCAATTAGGTTCTTTTAAAATAAATTAAGATATTTGAAACGATTATGAAGCATGAAAACATATACAATATATGTATATATACACACACACACACGCGTTCATGCATTACGCAATTATAAATCATATTTGGAATTTGTGAGTCAAAGCATCAAAATTAGTTTAGAAGCAATTAGGGTTTAGAACCCTATAATTTGAAAGAAAAAAAGGGAAATTTGGGATTTTTTGTGGTTGAGCCGCAGCTCCACGCCACACAGTTGAGCCAAGCTAGTTGGTTTGCAGCCACGCCACAACTAGGATGACGTCATTTCAACACCATGGACCTCTCGCAGCAGCCCAGTGGTTGGTTTCTGCACAGGCCTGAAGCCCTGAGTCCATCTCGGCCCGTCATGCCAGCAAGCTTTGCTTGTTGGGCTTTGCCTACCCGTGATTCTGCCTGCCTGCATTAAGCTTTGCTTGCTGGGCTCGCCACTTGTCTCGGCCCGTGATCACTAAAGCCAGCCCATGTGCCTGTGCTTACCTAGAACCGGCCCACAACGAAGCCAGCTTTTGCTGGGCTTTGCGCCCACCCATACCAAGCTAGCCCTCGTGCTAGGCCTATGCTTCCCGTGCCCCTTGTGGCCCAAAACTAGCAGCTTGGCTACTAGGCTTCTTCCCAGACATGGCCCGTGGCCTGTAGCCACACATGGGCTGCCTTGGCAGCCTACCTTATGGCCTAATAAGCCCTTTAGGGCTTTGTCCCGCACACGACAGCCAACCCACCATGTTGGGCTGCGATTTTTTTCGAACCAAATGCCATGTTTTTGGCATTCCCGCTTCATAACCATACTCCTATAATTTTTGGGATGTTATTGGTTAAACTCTTATCCAGGTATAATTTTATTGTGCTTGGCCTAAAGCCAAAATTCAAGCTAATATTATCCCGAATGCTATTATTTTGTTTCTACGATCAAACCTGGATGATTATGATCTATTAAATTAATTAAAGTGACCAGCAGTCCATTAATCTGACAATTAATCCAAAATTATTGGCCTGAAGTTCACTATTTGGCAATTAACGATTCAATAAATTATTTCTTTTCTTTGAACCGTTGACTCACTTTCGTAGTTCGAAGCACTCACACTTGAGTTCCTGAAGTAACCCAAATCCACTGCACTTAGTTGTGTATTGTATTCTGTGTTCTTGCAGGTAGCCTCCTTTTTATGAACCTGGAAGTTCATAACTAAACTCGAACCTGTAGTTTCGAATTTAGTGCCTTTGAAACCTGAAGTTTTCATAAAATAATACACCCATGTAAACCTAACGTTTTTCATGTAAACCATGTACTTAGAATCCGAATGCTCTAACTTTAATGTTATGGATATCTTATTTCCATAGCATCAATCACAATCTTGTCCCTCCAATCAATGGATTTTGACATGGATGGCCTTGTTTGCCAAATCCCTTTAGTATTTTTGGTTTACTTTGTGAACATTTTTCTATGTTCTTGGATTCAAGTTTGGTGTTTGTTTTAGTTATGGATAATCTTATTGATCTTATCCTCGAATATGGGTTAATTGAATCATGTTTCTTAATACATGTGACCAAATTCAATCAAACATGTGATTAGGTGTCTGGACGAATGCAATACTACGCATACTAAGTTTATACCTAAATCACAACTTTAGCAACAACTTTAGGTCTATCCAGCTTGATTAAGAGCATTGGCACGCTCCTCGTTGTATGAATGGTACTAAATTACCATTTCAACGACCTTATATTCTCCCTGTTCCAGAAGAACGTTGTTGAGTTTTAAGGATATTTAAGATGACAATGATGATGAATAAAACCACTGAAGAAAATAGAGTGTAATATCTTTGCACCACCTCCAAAAACGAGCCTGAAGCTTTGTTTTGGGGCCAATAGGCTGCCTCCTAACTGGGAACACGCCACATGTGGCCGACCTAGAGCCTGGTGTTTAAGCAGTTTAGTTGCCTTGGCACAACCGTTTGGGACACTTAGGTCGAACAATGATGCTACGATGCATTGTTTGATACGACGCTCTCCTTACTTAGAGTAAGGATCTTGTGCTTACAAGCACACTTGGCCAAGCTTGCTCATTTGGAAAATTGATTTTCTAAATCATCCCTAGTAAAGATACGAAACAACCCTCTTTTCATAGTAGATTCAAGGAATATATATGGACTAATCCAACCAAAATGTAGACTGTATAAATACCTATGGTTTTGGTTGATGATTTGACAAATTGGTCACACATTTGTCCACACACATTGCTGCTAAACCTCCTGGCCGATTTTAAGAGTTCACCACCCTAATTATCCCATAAAGTCTAGAAGACTAAATAATGCCGGAGAGTTTATATTGAAGGTTTTTGATACGTATTGCATTTCTTTTGGGTTTATAAACGGACATCGAATCCCTATGTTCACCCCAAAATAGCCTCGCAGAGTGATCATAAAGTGAAATTTAATTGATCGCCTAAACCTTGGTAAACGCACCATGATTTCAATTTCTGCCTAGGGCTATGCAATCTTGTACGCAGCTATGTTGGTTAGCCTTAAGGCCTA